ATAATCTTCTATGTACTGTAGGCATTTCCATTATATTCTTGTTCTGGGGATGCAATGGATAATATAGTATACCTACCTATTCATATTCAGCAGTTTTGATGAAAAATGAAATATTATAATTCCAGGTTGAATTGAATTCATCTCGTTGAAGACCAGGGGAAGGTGAGAGTGAGAGATGGCATCCTAATTTGGTAGAGCTTAACATCTGAACAACAAAAACAATGTCTTCCCAACTTTTTGCCAGTTTCTTTGTATTTCTGATGATAGGGAGGTTATAGGAGAACAATAATAGCTGAAAGTTCACTGGCTCCCTAGAAATGTTAATAGTGCTTAGACCATTGTTCAGAAGCCATGAAAGCTTCCTTTGGAGTATACCTCAACTTCTCAAACCCTCACAGAGAGTTAAAAACTGTGGGAGATTGAAGAGGTAAAGTAAAAATGGGAGCAATTATGCAGTACTTATTATATAGTGCCAGGATGCCTTTGTGCCAATGCACCGTGCCACGCATCTGCTTCCTAGATTTGAGATGATATACCATAATGTGAAAACTCTATACTTGGAAAACATGAATGGTATAGTCCCTAAATCTAAGATACTCTGGAGATCACAAGCAGAAGGGATATGTTTTAAAAGAGCCCTGGACACAGAAAATTTCCATTAAAAAGCAAAGAGGTCAATATCAGTCATGGGTTGAAGTATAATATAGAAAAGTTAATGAGTTATTTCTGTCCAGTATCTAGCAATACTAACAAGACATCACATACATGAGTAGCACATGTCTGCCATAAGACTGAAACATTACACACAAAGTTATCATAACATTTTACCTACTTGGAGAGTTAAATTGTCATTCTAAAGTAAAAAATCAATAGGAAGAATGTTTTTGTTAGAAATTAATGCCTTTACAATACCACTGGAAGAAGACAAAAGTTATACACAAAAATTCATATAATATTAACCAAATATAGGGCGTAATTGAGATTGGGATATCAAAGCATATTTTGAGGCCCTGTTTTTCTTCAGTTCTCAAAGAATATGTCAGTACAGTCCCGAGACTGAGCTGGTTTTAGAAAGAGTATGATGCTTAGTCTGGTCACCCCAGATAAGATCTAGAACTCATTTCAATGTTGAGTAGATTTTTATTCTCCAATGTTTGTATCTATGGGAGATGGGGTATGAGGGTAGTGAACAGGAAGGTCTTTGTTCCTGGAATGGTGGCACCAGTAGAATAGGAGATGAAGAGGAAGGAGCACATGTCTGATTCCTGATTCTTCTGGAGAGTCAAAATCATCAAAACCATTTGTTACTGGTTAGAGAATACAAAAGGAGATCAGCAGAAAAGAGTAGCTATACAAGGATTATAAGAAATTGAACTCAATAGTCAAATGTCCAACAAAGCTAACATCTTGATGCTTAAGGAAGAGCTCCTTTTTTGACAAAAACTGCTAGGAGCACTGCAAAGCATTTGGCAGAAATTAGGTGTAGCCTGATATCTTAAATCATATACAGGAATAAATGTAAAAGGAATCCTTACCCTGAATTTAAAATGGTGACCCATTAAGCAAAACCAGAATAGAACCAGACCAGGTACTTTTCATAGGTATTACTATCAGTCAAGCAATAGACAAGTATTTATGAAGCATACACAGACTTACACCATGATAGGCACAGGGATGCAATAAGAAGAATCAACAAGTAAATGAAAGAATGGATGACTGAATGTTGCAGAATTCATATTTCCAGATGTAGCACCTGAGCTTAGTTCTTCATGATTCCAAAACCAGTCTTCCATCAGCTTGGTCATGAGAGAGTTATTTTAACTCCTCAAGCAAACTCAATATAATAATGGGTAATCAACCTTGGACATAGACAAACAAATGACATTTGGAATTAACCTCTTAATGTCTGTTGCCACTCCTTAGGTCTCTTTTATTCTTTATTGTTTACTTACTAATTTGAGAGAGTGGAGGATTTCTTTTTCAATTTCCACATTATGAGTTTCCTATACCACTGAAGTGAAATTTATGGATCACAATAACTCTCTCCTAAACACATGTGAGAATATGCACACACACACACACACACACACACACACACCACACACACACACTCACACCCCTTTTTTGTAGACAAGATATATGAGGAAACAAAACTAAATCCAATTTGGAGGAAAATGTAAAGAAATAGAATTTTGTGCCCTTTGACATGGATCAGCTATATTTCTCATCAACATTATAATTCTTTGGGACAAAGGCTATTTCAGAATTTCTGACAGAATGATCAGATAACAATCAAATTTATATATTAAGATTTGTTCCAGAATTGAGGAGATCTAAATTGTTTTGAGCATGACAGTAGGTATACACTGATGTAATTATATATACACAGATTACATATATACATACACATATACTTACATATAATATAAATTATTATTCAATATATAAAATCATCAGATACTAAATGGCAAAGCTCATCATTGCTACCCTTAGTGTCTCTGTCTTAGACTCACGTAGTGTAGTACTCCTGGTGCCCCAAATGTGTCCACAAGAAGGAAAATGGAAGCCTTGTAAAAGTGAATTTCCCTAGCTTAAAGCTTTTCAGAAATTTGGATAACCAAAAGAACGAAAACTATCTAAGGACCTTTAAGGTATATGTAGTAACAATATTTGGACAGATTACAAAAAAGTCCTGTCTTCTAGAAAGTGATTCATAATACATAAATTTTTAATATATTTATGTGTCATGCTGGTAAACGTGATTATAGCCATGGTGGTGTAATATATTATTATTTTTGACAATTTATGGTTGAGATAAAATGTTGACATTAAAACCGATTGCAGATAGTAACTCCAGAAACATTCCCTGAGGAGATCATATGAAATGTTGATTCTTTTGAAGTTCTCCTGTACTTTAGGGAATATGTCTCATGAGCAACAAAAAAGCAATAATTTCTACTCAGCGCAGACCATATAAGGGTTTACATAAGTGAGATGCATGCAGCAAATTCACTACAGGTGAGACTATTTTTGTCTGTTTGTTTTCATTTACTGTAGTTGAGCTCTAAAAAATGATCACATTAAGTAATTTCGGGCTTAAGATCTAGGTGTTTCCAACAGGTTCTTGTGACTCCAGCTGAAAACCAATTATCCAGGCAGCTTCACTGCAGATGTTAGAGGTGAGGCTTTTGAAGGTTGAATCAATATAACCATTTCTGCATTGCTATGTTACCATTCAAGCACCCAAAGTTAGCAAAGCAGAGATGTATTCTAATGATGAAGATAGGACAAGTTAGATGCTAGACAGTGCCATTCCTTCATGTGGAATTTCATTAGACAGATAAACTCCCCACCCAGGCATGCTGACTGAGAATCAAATCAATGACATTCTCTGGAAGCCTCAACTCAGAGCCAAAATGTTCTTGTCACCTTGGTGAACGTGAAGGCTAGTCAGTATTGACACCAGTACAGATTTAGTCTATTTGACCTGATCATGGCTGGAGGCAACATGACTTGGCAAACTGAGGAAGCTATGTGATACAATGGATAGAGTGCTAGGGCTCAGGTCAGGACTACCTAAGTGCAAATCCATGCTGAATGACACTGGACAACTTGCTGAACTACTTTCTGCCTTAGTTTCCTCAAATGTAAAATGGAAAGAGCACCTATCCCCAAGGGTTGTTCTTAGAAACAATGAGGTGATAGTTGTAAAAGACTTGGCACAATGGTTGGAATATAATAAATACCATATAAGTCACAGCTAATTATTATTATTGTCCTTATTATTATAATTAAACTGAGATCATATTTTTCATTTGGGAACAGAAGAAGTTTTATGTTTTACTCTATAAGATTTTGCCCAGTCATACTTTTGCAATACCAGATATTTGTAAATTAACTGAATTTTTACAAAATATAATTGTGGAGAATATATATATATATTAAATTTTTTTTATGAAAGTAGGTCGAGCTAGAGATGCATTAAACTGCCCCCAAACATTAAAATAGTTTTGTATTTCATCTGTGTAGTTTGAAACACTGTCTTTTTAAAACAAGTGTAAACATCAAATTTGCATTTCTCTACTCCTCTTTTAGAGGTTCTTGCTTCTTCTCAGTGTAACTCCCCTCCTAGTTTGAAAATAACAGAGAATGCTGGTGACCATGGGTGATGAGGTTTCATTTTAGTGAAATATTCAAAAGGGATCTGTTTCACCTATCTCAGGAGACAAATTTCACTGTCTTGCTAATGTCCAGCCAGCCCACAAACCAATTTCCTTGACTCTTTCCCCACCTCTCACCCCATCTGAATCATGATATCCCATCATGAAATAAATGAAAATCTTGAAAAATTTTAGATGAGAGCTGGAGCACAGATGCCTTCAAGTAACTACTGAAACTCAGAAGGAAATCAGGAATTACTACAACTAATATTTGGTCATTCGGTCATATCCATCATGCTGTATTAGAATATTAACTGGAAGGGTAGTAAGAGGTAGCTTATACAAGTGTTTTAAAACTTGGACAATGTGTTTTGTATGTCATAAGTTATTACAAATTTCATCAGCAGAGCCTCTTGTATCTAGAAATAGCAGACACATACATTTCAAAATTGTCATTTAGTAATACTCAAATGCACCTAGTTCATATACAGTCTCTGACAGATATCCAAAAGGATGAAGTTTAAAATGTCATTCTTCATCTTTGTCATTCCATAGAACATAGAGGCATGTATTATAGAATACCAGTCTCCCTCAGTAATTTCCTAAAATCCATAAAGTTGTCAGAACCAGCTCTTGTATTCCTTTTTTATCCTATTCCATCTGCTTACTTAGCTACCTTCATGGAGGAAGGGGTTCCTGCATGTCAATACTCTGAGATGTGAGGGGAAAATCCATTTCACCTTACCGATTGCATCTGCATATACTAAAGTTGTGATGGATGATGCAGGCTCAGAATTCTTAGATGCCTTTATTTTTTTTTTCCCAGATTAGGTTGCCTTGATGAAATTCATGGACCAACAGAATGGAACTGTAGCCACCTCAGTGACTGAATTTATTCTCATGGGAGTCACAGACCGCCCAGAGCTACAAGCCCCACTCTTCGGCGTGTTTCTACTCATCTACTTGGTCACAGTGGTGGGGAATTTGGGCGTGATCATCCTAACAAAGATCGATTCTCACCTACAAACCCCCATGTACTTTTTCCTCAGGCATCTCGCATTTACTGATCTTGGTTATTCCACTGTCGTTGGTCCCAAAATGCTTGTGAACTTTGTGGTAGAGAAAAATACAATTTCCTACAATTGGTGTGCAACCCAGCTAGCTTCCTTTGAGGTTTTCATTATCAGTGAACTTTTCATCCTGTCAGCCATGGCTTATGATCGCTATGTGGCCATTTGCAAGCCCCTCCTCTACACAGTCATCATGTCAGACAGGGTATGTTTGGTCTTCGTGGCCATCCCTTACCTCTATAGCATCTTTGTGGCATTGCTGGTCACAGCTAAGATTTTTATTTTGTCCTTTTGCAGATCCAATGTCATCAGACATTTCTATTGTGATGGTCTTCCCTTGCTGTCCATTGTATGTGCTGACACAAGTGAAATGGAATTGATTTTTCTAATCTTTTCTGCTTTAAATTTGCTTTCCTCCCTCCTAATTGTCTTTGTTTCCTACATACTCATTCTTGTGGCCATCCTCAGGATGAACTGTGCTGAGGGCAGATCGAAAGCCTTCTCCACCTGTGGCTCCCATCTCACTGTGGTGGTTGTGTTCTATGGGACCCTTCTCTTCATGTATTTGCAGCCCAACTCTAGCCACTCCTTTGAGACAGACAAGATGGCCTCTGTGTTTTATACCTTAGTCATCCCCATGCTTAACCCTTTGATCTACAGTTTGAGGAACAAAGAGGTAAAAGGTGCCCTAAAAAGAACCCTAGAAAATCGATGCAAACTTCCTATTTAATGTGCAATGGTTCTAATAAATTACCAGAGGTCAATAATTCTTTTTTTTTTTTCTCCTCTGTCAATTTCTTCTGAGTTCTTTTTTTTTTTCTTCATGGAAAAATTATTCTATACTCATCCTTGCTTCAAAAAATACAATATTCCTTTTTGTTATCAGTTAGCAATAGATTTTTTGGTGAGTTTAGGTAAGTTACTGGAGGTTTTCCAGAGAACCTGATTAATGGTTGAGAATTGTGAGTTGGGTGTAATGGCTTATTAGGAAAAGTTTTCTTGACCAAGTAGCTGAAAAATTCCCTACTAGATACTGTTCCTATTAACTTTTAAGTTTTAGTTCATCATGTAGCACACACAGAAGAACCTCAACTTTTGAAGTTGCAAAATTTCCACCTAGAATGTATCTCTGCATACATCAGCATAACACAATGAGTGTGGCTTATGCAGTGAGGGTGTTTACCTACTCCACTTTCTATCCTCATCACCCTTGGCTGGTTATGGAGTTTCTCTGGCTCTCAATGTCATGAAGATTGAAGTGGTTGTTGTAGATTGTCTCTAACGCCTACTTCAACCTCATCTTTTTAAGCATTTCTTGTAATCCAAACTATCTCCAGCATGGACAGAGAGGTACAAATGCATTCAGAAGTTAAGAAAATTAATGAATTCTCATTCCTTTAAGAAGGATTTTCTCAGTGGGGTCTTTATTTTTCTTTAAATTTCTGGAACATTAAGGTAGATTCAGATTTTAATAGCCTTATGGTTATGTTTTCCAGAGTAAAAAAATTAATTCAATCTTGCATTATTTTTCCCCTCCATTCAATTCACACCATCTTTCTAGGAAAACATATGATGTGAATTACTATATTTTTATCTGTCTCCATAATGAATCCTTCTGTGTAAGCTCACTGAGGGTGGTGACCATGTCTTCTCTTGATATTATTCTGGAGCAATGCTCTGTATGTTGTGAATTATTTCTGTTATTTTGTGTTATTAGTGTAATTTTTATTGTTTTAAATAATGCCTAATAATATTTCATTATTATTTATTTTAGCTATTATTTTCAGTGGTAAAGTCATTTCCCTTCTCCTCAAAGTATCATGCACATAATTCCCTATTTCAATGTTGCATCTCCGCTAAGACCATGAGTGCTTTGAGTTTGACAAGTGGTGTTGCTTTTGTTGTTGTTTGTTCTTTGCATCCACAGAGCAGAGCGAAGTGCTTTGCACTAAATGAGTGTTTAATAAATATTTCTTGGATTAAAATCATATGGACAGAATAAGTTTAATTGTAAATGTAGCAAATCATATTCACTTTTCTATATCTGGCTTCATCCTTCTTTCCAACCACTTTTAAGGATAACAGTGATGTCTTTGTTATTTTTTTCTTCTTCTTGGAAGACTAGTTGTATTGATGACAAATTTCATTTCCCTTGCTTGAAAAGATACAGCTTTTGAAAGAACAAGTTAGCCTTTGTCTACTTTGTATTCTGTTGGGTTGCGTGTGGGAAGTGTCCTTCTTTAAAATTCTTCAGATACAGAAATCTCTGAATAAAATTAAAAATTGTTAAGCTATGTATTTGAAACAACAGCCTCCTTGTTATCATCATATGTGTCCTATATTACACTTGATATTTCTCCTTTAGGTTTTTTTTTCCCTGAGAAATCTGGAAGGCTTGAATTGTTTTTTCTTAGTTGTTTCCCTGAATTACCTTTTTATCACATCAGTTAGGATGGATTTCAAAGTGATCCCTCAGTCATTATTTAGAGACCTCTAGTTTGAGTGACTGCAATGCTTGTTAAGATGTCTTATTCCTCTTCAAGATAAAAATCTTTGGTAGTTTTTCCTAAGCTTAAATATGCCTCTTTTCAACTTCTATTCATTGCTCTTCATGACATGAATTCAAAGCTCTCACCACCCTTATTCGGCTTATCAATATTGTTTCTGAAATATGGTAACCTAAATGGGAAGGGAATGGAATCAGCATTTATATGTCATCTACTATGTTCTATGCACTATGCTAAGAGATTTTTTTTTTCCATTTAATGCAAATATCTCATTTTATCATCACAATATCCCCACTCTAGAGTTGAGGAAACTGAAGCAAAGAGATATTAAGTGATATGCCCAGGGTCACACAGCTAATATGTTTCTGAGGCTGACTTTGAACTCAGGTCTTCCTGACTCCAAGATCACTATTCTATCCATTGCACCAACTACCTACCCCTAATATCCTTTGATCATCTACCAACTGGAAAATGACTCCTATTCTTAAAAATAATTTGACTCTATTCTCTATATATTTGAGAAATCAGGCCTTTATCAGAGAAACTTGCTGTAAATTATTTCCCCGAGTTTCCTGCTTTCCTTCTAATCTTGGCTGCATTGATTTTGTTTGTGAAAAAAATTAATTTCATGTAATGAAAATTATTCATTTTACATCCTCTAAAGATCTCTTTCATTTGGTCAAAAATTCTTCCCTTATCCATAGATCAGACAGGTAAAATATTCTAGACTCCTGCAATTTATTTATAGTCTCACCCTTTGTGTCTAAATCATGCATCCATTTTGACTACATATACACACACACACACACACCACATACACATACATACATATTCAGTTTCTAATACAGTAACATGGAAATGAGGCTATATACAGTGAGGAGATCCATGGTATCTTCCTGGAGGTCACAGATGTAAAAACAGCCAGAGATGGGGACAGGAATAGGGACTGGACATGTTATTTAAATGATTTGGGAAAAAATTCTGTGAATGGAAATTCCTTCTACCAATATTGATTGGGAACTTTTTCTGTCAGATGTTATTTTTGAACTCAGTTTTCATCTTTAAGGTCAGTTTTCTACCTCGCACATCAAATTGCCTTTCATAGATGTTTTAAAATAGCCTACCCTTTCCAAACAATGATTAGAAATCTTTTTCTTAATTATCCAGGTTATTCTGTTCCATCTCTTATTTGTAAAGAGCCCCTTCATTTACTCTTAATTTTATAAAAATAAAACAATAATCATTTACCTTTCATTCACAGAATATTAATATAATGTGATTCGATGTAACATAAATACAATCACTTTTTCCATCTTATCTTAACCCTTTCTATTCTACAGAAGCCTAATTAACTAGACAAACAGTATTCAAAAAAGGCCTCTTCCTGTTATTCCCATATAATCTTTCTTGGATGTAAGAGATGATTGAGCAGAACGAAACCACAGCAAGTTAGATGACTGAATTCACTGTCATGGGCATCGCAAATCATCCTGAGCTTCAGGATGCCCACTTTGGGGAATTTTTCCTCAGCTGCATTATCACAGCTCTGGGGAACTTGGGCATAATCATATTAATCAGTGTTGATTTCCATCTCTAAAGTCCCATGTATTTTTTTTTCTTAAGCATGTGGCATTTATTGGTCTTGGCTATTCAACAGTACTTGGCCCAAAAAATTCTGATGACATTCATAGTAGAAAAAGATATGACTTCCTACAATGAATGTGCAACATATATGGTTTTCTTTGTGATATTTATCATCAGTAGATTTTTCATCCTGTCAGCTATGGCCTATGACTTTTAATTTTGTGAGTTTACACAGTCATTTTTACACAGTCACAATTGTCTAATTTCTTAGACAACTTTTCCTCAATTCTTCTATGTGCAGAAAAAAAAATTTTCTATGATACTCTAAGAGAGCTTGTTTGTTGTTGTATTTTAGTTATCAACCTTCAGTAAATCTTAGTTTAAAAGACCTTTATGATTCAAGAATCTAGGAGAGCATTTAGCCCACAGCTGTGTAAAGAAAAAAAAGTCTCTTTTGTTATGGTGCCCTAAAGTTGGATATCTGAGCTTTGAATGAAGTTTTTCTGTGTTGGAGAATCAATACATTAACAAGTATTTTGAAAATGGCTAATATGCGCTCAACATACTACTAATTACGGGGCATGCAAAGACCAAAAAATAAAGGGTGATGACTTGGTTCCTCACGTCAAAGAGGTTACCTTTTATTAAGAGAAACAACATGCAAATGAGAACCAACATACTTTTCAAGGAAATTATTCAACTTTTTAATATCTCCAAATATCAGGAAGGTTGTTTTCACTATAGCTTCAATTTTTCCTCTACAACTTCCACCAATCGCTCTTGGTCTGCTATTCTATGGCCAACCAGAACACATCTTTTCTATCTTTTTTTTTCCTTTGGTAACAATCATTTTCATTTTTGAAGAAAGCACCCATATATATATGCTTCAATTTAAAATCTTGTATTCTTGTGCTGAAATAGAAAAAAATGTATATATATTGGGTCATACAGAGTATTCCTAAGGTCTTAGTGCATTTTAAGCTTCTTAGAGCTTAAAATGCCCTAAGATATTTTAGGCAAGCTGCAAAGTCTAAGTATCTGAGTTCCAATATGAAGTTTGCTACTTTTGACCGTGACATTTTAGGCAATAAATTTAGATTTTCTGTCCCTAATTATACTCATTCCAGTTCAAAATCTATGTTGCATCAATTAATTCCAATAGTAAACAAAATATTTTGAATAATAGTCAAAGGAGGCCTATTAAACTCTTTTTATGAAACAAATATGGTCTAACACTTAAATCAGGAAGAGCAAAAACAGAGAAAGAAAATTGTAGAATAATTTCCCTAATGAAGATGAAAGCAAAAATCCTTAAAAAAAAAAAAAAAACCTAGCCAGGATACTAGAACAATATATCACACAAAACTATACAAAGTAACCAGGTGAGATTTAGACCACAAATGCATGTATAGTTTAATATGAGGAAAACTATTTACATAATTGATCATATCAATCACAAAGTAACAAAAATCATATGATTATATCAATAAATGCAGAAAAAAGCTTTTGACAAAATGCAGCATTCATTCCTATTAAAAACACCTGAAAACAAAGGTATGAACACATTTTTCATTAAAGTGAAGCATCTTTGTAAAACCATCAGCAAGCATTTTGAGGAGGGGGCAATTGGGGTAAAATG